TTTTTTTGACTGATTATAGCGCCTATATTTATACCGGGAAATGCGAGACCAGTGCCACCGGTCGGCCCCCAAATACTGGGCGATATGATCCAGTTCCGACAGGAGCTCATGTACCCGTACAACCTGAGCGACATCGCGGATATTACATCAGCCAAACCCCTACACGACCAGCCCCTGCCATTCCGACTGCCATTCTTTGGCTTCTGGAATTACTATATTTGGGTAAATGACTCCTCATTTGAATGTGTTTTGCATTAAATTCTTCGATAATTACTCGGTTTTGTTGTCACGAATAGTGAGAAATATAAGGATAATGTATACGTAATTAGAAAAACTTGACAACAATTATGTGATCACATAATAATAGACACATTTAGGCGCTTCTGAAGATCAATGATCCCTCTCATGGCTTAAAGCAATTAGAGTTAGACATCGAATACCTACAGAGCGTTCACTCATTGCTCCTAAACTCTAATCCCACATAAAATGAGCCAAATATTGAACGCAATCATTGTTTTGATGGTTGAGTTCATTATCACAGAAACAAAGCTATTCACAAATTTGCTAATTCATGGCATTAAGCATATCGTTGACTCCAATACACGGATTATATCGTAACACGAGTTTTCAATTACATAATTCATTCACAGATCCAAAGAGACGGCTACCTGGCCTTCAATAAGGGTTTACTGTCGTACAAGTTTCCCGTGAAGTTCCCGTCCGTACCCAAGGATAACCTGATGGAGGAGGACCCCTCGATGATCGCCCCCTGGTTTGCACAGCAGGACATACCTACGGAAGTGCCGCACGCAGGCGTCTACTTAAAGATCGTAAACCTCGAGTCGGAACTCAATATCACGTTAAGAGATCGCATATACTATGACTTCCGGGAGGGTATGATCGGTGCCTCCCGGAGCAAGTTTGCGCTGATAATCACGTGGCGGAACATGACCATGGTCAATAGGCAACCTAAGATGCCTCTTGTGGTACGTATTGAGTAGTACCCGGACTCATTACGAGTTCGTGAAACTGTAGAAAAGTTTTCTAACTTTGTATAATTCTAGACAAACACATACCAGTGCGTGTTGGCCACGGATGAGATCCGGACGTAC